TACCGACACTTTGTATTTTTGCGGACGAGTATCTCGAGATGCATTTGGAGCATGTTCTTATTTACGCTGGGAAAAGTCAAGTGGTAATTATGAAAGTCGATTTATATCTGCTAAGTCGAGAGTTGCCCTTCTTAAAGAATTGACAATACCTCGTTTGGAGCTACAGGCAGCAGTTCTAGCTAGTCGATTGTACAAGACCATAATAGAAGAATGTCGTTTACAGTTCGAGAGAGTTATTTTCTTTACGGACAGTATGATAGTCCTTACATGGATCCGTAGTCAGTCAAGAGAATTCAAACCATCTGTGTCGAGCAGGGTTGCGGAAATTCAAACGAATTGTGATCCATCGACATGGAGACACATACCAAGTGAGCACAATGTAGCCGATGATTTATCGAGAGGCATTCCAGCGAAAGATCTAGAACACCGTTGGAAGAATGGCCCAAAGTTCCTGAATCAACCCAAAGAAGAATGGCCTGAACAACCAGCTATGCCAATCGATGCCGCGGAACTCGACAAAGAACGTCGAAATACCCAAGCAGCCTTTTCCTTAAGCACCGTACCGACAGTAATTGACCCAACGAAATTTTCGAAGTGGAAGAGATTGGTGAGAGTGACGGCGTGGATCTTACGATACATGCGAAATCTACGATTAAAAACAAAACCCGAAGATAATGTCGACCCGTTAACAGCTGTTGAGTTAGAACAGGCCGAAGAGTTATGGATCAAGACAGCACAAAAAGAGTTACACGAACGTGTTAAGAACAAAGAGTTCAATATGCTTAGTCCATTCACAGATGACAAAGGAATCATAAGAGTCGGCGGACGAGTGGATAAAGCTATCGTAACGTATGATTCGAAGCATCCAGTACTTCTTCCCAAGAACCACCACATTTCATACCTGATTACCAAAGATGTACATCAAATTACTCACACTGGGATAGCGTCGACAGCGGCGAAAACAAGAAGAAAATTTTGGATTATCGGAGTGCAAAATTTGGCAAAGTTAATCAAGAAAAAGTGTATTTACTGTAAGAAGTCGCATCCAAAGATTGAATCGCAAGTTATGGCCGAACTGCCGAAGATAAGATTGATGCCTCAGACACCTCCATTTTACCATACAGCTTGTGACTATTTCGGTCCGTATAAAGTCAAAATTGGAAGAAATAAAACCACTAACCACTATGGTGTTTTGTTTACTTGTCTGAACACTCGGGCAGTTCATTTGGAACTTGCAACAGACTGTTCAACAATGGAATTCATCCAAGTACTCCGAAGATTCTTCGCGATTAGAGGTTACCCTTCATTAATGTTGAGCGATAATGGAACACAACTGGTCGGCGCAGAGAGTGAACTAGCAAAGATGATCCAAGGTTGGGATGTGAAGAAACTCAAGGAGTATGCAGCAGATAAAAGAATGGAGTGGAAATTCATTACTCCTAATGCCCCACATCAAAACGGATGTGCCGAATCGTTAGTAAAAAGTTGTAAATTAGCCCTTAAACAAGCCATGGGAGATAACCTTCTCACACCATTTGAATTGCACACCGTACTGCTTGAAATAGCAAATCTGGTAAACCAACGACCAATTGGTAGACCAACCAACGACCCCGATGATGGTACATACCTATGTCCGAATGACCTTTTATTAGGAAGAGCTTCCTCGCATGTTCCACAAGGACCATTCCTGGAGACAAAGAACCCGCGTCATAGAGTTGAATTTCTACAACAGATTCTTGACTCGTTTTGGAAACGATGGACTAGAGACATCTTCCCCTGTTTAGTTTCACGAAAGAAATGGGATGTTCAACGACGCGATGTCAAAGTCAACGATATTGTCATGTTAGTTGATTCGAATGCGGTACGAGGCAATTGGACGATCGGAAGAATCATTGAAGTTCATCCAGGTAAAGATGGAAAAGTTCGAAATGTAACAGTAAAAACACAAAATGGTAATTACCGAAGACCTATTACTAAAATCTCAGTAATACACCCCGTGGACGGAGAATAGAATGAGAACAATGTCCTCATTGGGGTGGAGGATGTTTCGCTAATTTAAAAATAGATAAATAATTACGTCATTGAACAGACACAGTCACGTGACAGAAAATAGCGGGAAATATACACGTTGGTTTTAAGCTGTTTACTCGAGGTTTAACGTTCAGAAATAGGTTTATATTTGGTTATTGTAAAGTGATATAGGCCAAAGAAGTAAGTTCATGTTGTTTATCATAACTAATTTACTTTATTCAGTAGATAATTCTTGTATTTATACTTTTAGATCGAATATTATTATTATTATTACTACAACTAAAACTGATTATTATACGATATTTGGAAATTATTTGTGGTCACTTTACGTACCGTTTCTGATTCTGGCGAGCCAATACCAATGTATTCTAGTAATATGAATTTTTTCGGTGTTGGTGTAGTGTACTCAGGTGAATATGATATTTGTGGTGTTACTCTGAGTGTATATCCACACCGGGCGAGCTTGAAAAACATGCCCGGCCACGGTGGGATTCGAACCTACGACCTTTGGAATGCTAGCCCAATGCTCTTCCAACTGAGCTACGCGGTCAGGACGGTTCGAGTAAGTGATATTCCGGAACAGAATCTAGTTCCTTCGATACCAATGTATTCTAGTAATATGAATTTTTTCGGTGTTGGTGTAGTGTACTCAGGTGAATATGATATTATCATTGGGGATATAACCGAGAATTGTCTAGAAGTATAAATTTTTGCGTTCAGTTCATACGCCAAAAACTTTCCTTGCGATAGTAACTCTTAGTTATAGATTTGCACCATTACGTCTCCCGAAAAGGTTTTTTATTTTTTTAAAAAGTCCATAAAATTTGCTTGCGGTTAGTAGTAATATAGAGGCCGATCGACCCGGATTTTTGCGGCGGTGGAGTGCGGCGGTGGAGTGTGGAGGGTAATTAGTATTCCAGCCTTATTTTTGCGGCGGTGGAGTGTGGAGGATAATTAGTATTCCAGCCTTATTTTTGCGGCGGTGGAGTGCGGCGGTGGAGTGTGGACGGTAATTAGTATTCCAGCCTTATTTTTGCGGCGGTGGAGTGCGGCGGTGGCGTGGGGCGGCGCGGGGCGGCGCGGGGCGGCGCAGCATCATTAACATACGTCATAATTACATACAATGACGTCACGCGGGTAGGATCAGGCAAGTAATGACGTCACGCGGGCGAACTTAAACAAGGACGTGGGAAACTTGCTGACTACGCATTTTTTAGCGTTCCCCCACGTGTGTGATACAATAGGCTTATTATTGGCTTGCTCTGAATAGCTCGAGTCCCTCACAAGGTAAAATTGTTATCGAAATTAATATATAGCAGTTATAGCCGTATCTTTGCTAGGAATAGATAAATTTCCACGAGTATATTGAAGGACTTTTCGTATATTCCATATCGAGGAATCTATTCGTTACAAAAATCAAGACATATTTTAAACTAAACAGTTGCTAATCCCGGGTTGTCAACGTCGTTGTTAAGGTCAATATTTGTATGTTGTTCAACATTATTTAGTAATCCTCCTACATACATATATACTGTTAAGATGATCATAAGAAAGCTTATCAAGAACTCATGGAGAAAAAACTTATAGAACAGTTTAACAAATAGTTTTAGTTGTAATATTTTTGACACTATCGTCTGTTATTTGTATCATTAAGCATGTTTTAAACTTTACAAATGTTGCGTTGTTATGGGTTGCTAGTCATTAGGAGGCATGTAGGTAATTAAGGGGATTAAGGCAGTACGAATTTACATAACTGAGTGTATCCCAATGGATAGATAGGGATTATTTATAACGCAGGTTTATACCTTAAAATCAGGCGCGTGGCTTTGCGGGTGCATGTATATGATTAACGTACAACATATTTGTACACGGATCTTTTCGCGCGGGCAGAAAAAGCGGGCTTTGCCGGCAAAAATTTACACAATATTTCAGTTTTTAAATACATTTATTTTTTTCAAAGCGTTTTACAAAATTTAGTAAGGTCTACTTCTAAGAGCGTAACGTCTAGGTGTTTTTGTTATTTTTAAAGAGTTCTCATATTCTTGTCTATCTTCTGGGGATAACTTTGCAAGTTTTTCCGGCTTCATTGGAATATATTTCGGTCTATCGCTTAATATAAAACGTTCATAATCCTCGCTTGCTTCCGGAGTCATTCGCGCTAGGTCACGTTCGGTCCAATCTGTTGGGTCTTTTATTTGTCCATTTTTTGATGTGAACTCCAAGCCGCCCGCCTTGCTGTTAGACGTACCATACGAACATAGCTCGCAGAAACCAATGACATGCGAAAACAGTAGAGGTGACTGTTCATCACATATCATACATTGAGTGTCTTTGCCCCAGTAGAAATCTTTCCACGAACATCTTGGGCACTTCATTAAGTATACAATGTGACCAGTCTCTTCTCCACAATGGTTACAAGCTAGTTTTTCGTGCTCACCATCATCCTCATTATTATCATCCTCACTCTTGTCAGATTCCCTGTTCTCTTTACCAGATTTGCTTTCAACATCACTCTCAGATTGTGGCATTTCATGTTCCTCCTTTGCCATTTCGCTTTCAACATCACTCTCAGATTGTGGCATTTCATGTTCCTCCTTTGCCATTTTTGACAATAAATACTCATTTTTAATCAAATCTTTATTAACCCCTGCTTCTACTAGGCTTTTTGTAAACAGGTCGAGCCCTCGTGGTTCAGGAATGTGAGAGTTGTATGGTAAAAGTGCGTATTGTAAAAAGTTCTCGATGTTAGTACCAGGAATGTCTCTTCCATGATAAACAATCTCACCCTGAGGATTCCAAGTTAAAATATCACTTGATATAAGAATAGAATGTAGCATTTTTTCTGCTGTAGTTTTTTTGACATTATTGTTCAGATACAAAAGTATATCTTCAATGCGCCAATGTCGAGATGTTTTACTCTCGATGTTCATTGTTGAAATGATGTATAATTTGTAGTCACAGGGCTTTTATACAAGTTCAGCCAGGCTTTCCAAAATAGGACTTAGTAATAGTCCAAGGAAACCTTCACCATGCTGAATGAGTATCCGTTTTCTTCTTCTTCCACATTTTCCTCTATCTGCCAACCTAAGCATTTCATGTTTGTAAGGTCGGAGTTTCTTCATTACATGCTTCGGCATTAAATATTTTCTTTTCATAACGTTTTCTACACAGAGACACAGGCAGTGTACTTGCCCGGCGGTTGCTGTTTCCAGTAGTGCTTGTTGTTGATCAGGCTCAGACGTGCCCAACAATTCAAGAAGTGGCTTGTGCCTTAGAAGATTGATCATTTCTGTTCGACGGTTTGGAAGCAAATGAGTAAAACACAACAATAAGGAAGCTTATATCGGAAGAGAGAAAGCAATTTAGACAAGGCTCCAAGCTATTGAGAGCTCGACTCTGAGCTTATCGAACTTGGCTCCTTGTGCATGTCAGATAAGGAAGATAAGAGGATAAATATAGGGAAGATAAGGATAAAGATAAGAGGATAAATATAAGGAAGATAAGGATAAGGAAGATAAGAAGATAAAGATAAGAAGATAAAGATAAAGATAAAGATAAAGAAGGTAAAGATAAGCAACATAAAGATAAGGATAAGGAACATAAAGATTAAGATAAGGATAGAGATAAGGATAAAGATAAAGAAGATAAAGATAAGGATAAAGATAAAAATAAGGAAAAGAATAAAGTTAAGGAAGATAAAGAAGATAAAGATAAGGAACATAAAGATTAAGATAAGGATAAAGATAAGGAAGATAAAGATAAGGAAAAAGATAAAGATAAAGATAAGGAAGATAAGGAAGATAAAGATAAGGAAGATAAAGGTAAGGAAGATAAAGTCAAGGATAAAGACAAGGATAAAGAAGATAAAGATAAGGAAGATAAAGATAAGGATAAAGAGAAGGATAAGGATAAAGATAAGGATAAAGATAAGGAAGATAAAGATAAGGATAAAGATAAGGAAGATAAAGATAAGGATAAAGATAAGGAAAAGAAAGATAAGGATAAAGATAAAGAAAATAAAGATAAGGAAGATAAGGATAAAGATAAAGACAAGGATAAAGATAAGGAAGATAAAGATAAGGAAGATAAAGATACAGAATAATACTGGATAGATGCATTAATGAATATATAGAACGAATACGCCAATTTATTATCACTTGCAGCTAGACGTTCGTGGTGTGAACATGACCTTTCCGTGCAATATATGTGCCAAAGTATTTTCAACACGTGGTAACCTCAAGCGTCATATTTTGAATACCCATGGAGATGTTCAAAGCAAACCAGTTGAAATCTCAGCAGGATCTACAGTTTTGCAGCATCCTTTCACATGTATCGTAGCTGGGTGTACACAAAGCGGCAAGACTGTATGGGTAAAATCTCTCTTGGAGAATGCACAGAAAACTATAAATCCTGCTCCTCAACGTATCATTTGGTGTTATGGTCAATGGCAACCCTCCTATTTTGATATGATGAGAACGATGCCTGGAATCGAGTTTAATCAAGGCACCCCCGAAGACATCGACAACGCAGATTACTTGGACGTATCGCAACGGAATTTGATCGTATTGGACGACCTTATGGCTCAATCTGGCAAAGATAAACGTATTTCTGATCTTTTTACGAAAGGAAGTCATCATCGGAATTTATCTATCATCTATATTGTTCAAAATATATTTCATCAAGGCAAAGAAATGAGAAATATCAGCCTAAACGCCCATTATATCGTGTTGTTCAAGTCACCAAGAGATAAACAACAAATTTCTATGCTTGCAAGGCAAATAAATCCCGGAAAAGTACAAGAATTTATGAGGAGTTATGAAGATGCTACGAGCCGACCTCATGGGTATTTGATGTTGGATTTAAAGCCAACAACAGATGATCAGAAACGACTCAAGACCAACATACTTCCCGGTGAGATTCAAAAGTTTATACAAAAACAGTCGTATCGACAACCACCACTTGTAAATGCCATGTATGATGCCGAGCAGCGAATGAAGGAAATCATGGATGCACCACAGCTTAGCGCAGTGGAAAAAAGCAAATTATACTCTGATCAACTAAATCGGTTTCTCACATTCAAAAATAAGATGGATGTCCCAGCTCAAGCTCCTGTTCAGACAACTCCACTAGTGCCTGCAGAAATACCACAACCCAATGAATTTGTTGAGATAGTACCACCAGTGCCTGCTACTCCTAAACCTAATTTCCTTACGCCACCACCAACAGAAGAGGAACGGCCAAAACTCAAGCGCAATTTTTTTCACAATTGGGTCGACCCGGCAGATTGGACCGAACGTGACCTAGCGCGAATGACTCCGGAAGCAAGAGAGGATTATGAACGTTTTATATTAAGCGATAGACCGAAATATATTCCAATGAAGCCGAAAAAACTTGCAAAGTTATCCCCAGAAGATAGACAAGAATATGAGAACTCTTTAAAAATAACAAAAACACCTAGACGTTACGCTCTTAGAAGTAGACCTTACTAAATTTTGTAAAACGCTTTGAAAAAAATAAATGTATTTAAAAACTGAAATATTGTGTAAATTTTTGCCGGCAAAGCACGCTCTTTCTGCCCGCGCGAAAAGATCCGTGTACAAATATGTTGTACGTTAATCATATACATGCACCCGCAAAGCCACGCGCCTGATTTTAAGGTATAAACCTGCGTTATAAATAATCCCTATCTATCCATTGGGATACACTCAGTTATGTAAATTCGTACTGCCTTAATCCCCTTAATTAC